ACCGAGTACAGTAACACGCCTACTTTACCAGGTCTGAAGTTCTGTAACTGAGTACAGTAACACGTCTAAACCAGGGCCAAGGGTATGTAGTTTTGTAACTTTGGGCAGTAAAATGTGTTTAGTAGTCCTGAGTGCATGCACCTCTGGCCCGTCATGTCGTTTGCTTCATGGGTTGATTATCAAATATCTTGTTACCATTAAACCAGTACGATACAACCACCTACAGCTCCTATACCCTAATGTTTATCTCTTGTTTCAAACGATGGAAGTTATGTGTTTCAGATGAATAGAACAGTATATATTTAATGACAAGCCATGGGATGCAGTTTACAGAAAACTTACGTAACTGTACAATTGACTTGTCCTTTAGGAGAAATTCCGTATAATCATGGCAAGGGTTTTGTCGCGTACATTCACTGTCTATAAGGGACGGTGGTGTAGCCTAGTGGTTAAAGTGTTTACTCTTCACGCCAAAGACCCGTGTTCGATTCCTCAAATGGGTACAGTGTGTAAGTCCTCGTCCTGGTGTCCTCGTCGTGAAATTGCTGGTATATTTCTAAAACGGCCTAACAGCACACCGCTGGTAGGCCATAAAGCTCAAATGAGACAGGCGAGAGAGCCGTGACTCAATGTAAACAAATCTGACAGCGATCTGATTTCGGTTAGGGTCGACCAAAATATTCGAGGAGTAATATTTTTATTATGTGGAAATATAGTCAGTGTCAGCAGCTGCCTATTATGCAATATCAAAATATCAAAATTAATTCATATGAGTGCCGATAAAACCATGCTTTAAATATTTCAGAATTTTTATTAAGAGATGCATGGGACCTTGAATTGAATTACCTTCCTCCATGTGGATCGAATACGAAAGCTATGTGTGGAGAAGAATAGCGACATTCTGGAGTATTGGATGGAGTGATATAAAGTGTATTTCTTAATTATCAGAACAGTATTTGAAGTTTTGTTTCAACATAAAGTATTCAAAATGTTGAAACTTATCTCAGTTTAGGTATTGCCCCATATTTAAGAAATTGTTTAACAAAATTTAGATGCGGTAAATTTAAACTTAGTTCTGAGACCGGTAGATATAACAATGTCCCTTATTATTCAAGATTCTGTCCTTTTGATACAAAAATAATCTTAATTTAATTGAAGATGAAATACATGTTTTACTTTATTGTAAAGCCTACTTAGATATAAGGAATAAGTTTTTGGTAAATATTTGAAACATCCTATTTCACAACACAGTTTTATAAACATAATGACTTCAACAAACATAAATGTTATAAATAATTTGTGCCTATTTTTATATAATGTTGGGAAAATAAGAGATTCTGATGTTTTATGTAAAACCAGGGATAATCTACAACGTTATATAGTCTCCTGGTAAAACGCATGTAACATCTTATCATATTTATGAATGTATTTTGGGCCAGTGGCCTATTACTGAATAAAATGTCTGTCTGTCTGTCTTCTAAAGTATTCACATATATTGGTACATTTTAGGAGTAATATTACAGCTGTCATTTTGATTAAGTCACTGGAAATGATAGCAAGGTATGTTTTAAGAATCATGCTTTCTTTGAGTACATGTGGAAGGGTAATAACATTAATAATAATCTAATCAGTTATAAATAAGTATTTAATTGATTGACATATCAGATTCATATGATTTTAGGGCAGAACTAGGCAAACAAATACTATACATATCATGGCAGGACAGTCACTTGGTATTAACTTAGTTTGTTGGCTCCTGCTTTTAGATGTTTATTTTAAATAATATATTTACTAATAAGATAATTCTAAAAAGTGATTGCTTGTATCGTAACTCATCCAAGTTATTTCAACATTCACTGGTTTCCTATTTCTGGAAGATGGATCAGTGTACAGGTGCAGACTGTATCTTGGATCTTCTATGTGTTCTGGTGCTGTGACATACCTGTACATAAAGTTAAAGAACGAATAAACTTTTGTTTTTGTACTCTTTTAACCATTACATATGAAAGACATGTGGTTAGTCTTCAGCGGTACACCAAATTCATTCATAAAAACTTGTGGTTAATTAATACCGATCGATTAAAAGTTGCCCCAAAGTCGTCTGCTTCACTCTCGCCCGCGAACGAAACCACAGAGAGGTTACGTAACTCTGTCGACAGAGCACTGTAGTGAACAGGAAGTGACGTTATGTGAGGAAGGATTTTCAGTTAGTTGTACGTAAAGTGTGTAACAAGCTCGTCATTTTGCTGATTTCTCGACGTCAACGAAGACATGCCGAATAGTTGCGTTGCCGTCAATTGCTCCTAGAGGTCGGGCGATGGTGTCACCATGCATAGATTTCCACCGGACCCCGCAGTTCGTGCTAAATCGGTTATATTTGTGAGTGCGAAGCGAGCGTTGTGGAAGCCTGGAACGATATCTTACTTGTGTTCAGATCACTTCACGGAAGTTAAAGAATCAAAACTACTTACTAGCTGTAGTAAAATATGTATACGATTGATGACCAAAAGGATTTTGCATGACACAAATTGTAACATAACGATGTCTTCCTCAGAAGCGAGGTTGTGGTCGAAGTGACAATAATATTGTAAGTAGTATTATATTGATACACACCTCGCTTCCAAGAGAGAAATTGTTATGTTATAAGCTATGGCATGCAAAATCCTATTGGCCATCAATCAAATACATGTGGTTGTGTTCACGGTTTTATAAAATTATGATGGGAATTTTGGAAAAACCCCAACAACAAAATTCAGTTACCCTCCCACTGCTAATATCTTTGACGGGCGTGAATTGCCAGATAGATTAATTGGTTGGAAAGAAAATACGCTTCCTACTGTCAGCAGCTGTCAGAGACGATTTTACATCGGGCATGTAACTAATTTTCACTCGCCAATTGCAATCTGACAACTAAAATATGTTAAAAATGACATACGTATAACTTTTCTCTTTAAATATCATTCACAAACGACGGATACCAAAGTACCACGAGCAGAATTCATCCACAACGTTCGCAATGACGTACGTTTCGCCGGCGGTGACGCCATTGTGATTAGTCAGTGGTTGCCCCTCCCCAAGCCACCCAACCCAACGTCAACACCGAAGTGGGCGGGGCTTATCGGCCGGGAGTGGATCGGTCCGTCTATTGATAACGTCAGTGATGTTTTCAGGAGTACCCTGTGTCTTCGCCAGCAGTTTCTACACGAGAATGTTTCGACAACGTGTAAAAGTTCTGCTGTATTTGGCGTTTAAAGAATTGATGAGTTTGCTGTCTAGATTTGACAACTTTGAGCTACAATCGAGCATGTGACAAGTGTCTGTAGCGAGGCACGATACACACACATGGAAGTCGTCAATATTTGAATAGTGTTCAACAAACACTCTAACACATGTTCCATTTTAGATTACACATTTCCAGTAAAGTTCATCCTGGATTCGAATTCACACTCTAAGAGTCTGGCGCCCAATCACAAGATCAGCGATCTAACTCACTTAGGAAAAGGGTCTTCCACAGTATTGTGTGCAGGCGATTAGATGCAGGACTCTGAGAGCGTTGGTTCGAACCCTGGATGGGACCCAACCAAACAAGTGTACTAGAATTTGTACTTTACTGAGAAGGTGTTATCCCAAATATAATATTGTTACCCTTGATCACAGCCAAAATGGTATTGTGTATTCCTAGTTAAGTGTCTGTCTTGAGATTTCTTATTTTGCCAAACCTAGATCACATTCAGGTCAAATTGCGGATTTGGACACATCGTCGCAGAATTGAGTCGTATACGGGATGCCTCCGCGTAACGAAATGCGAAACTTTGGACAACAAGGAATTCATATAAAAAACAACGCTCCTTTACCTTCTTGTCAAGACTTTATTTTAGTGTTTTTTTTACAACCGCGCTTAAGAGACTGAGCTCTCGACACTCACAGTCTTGTGGCAGCCACAGCCAGCGCCAGTTTAGGCCAGCCCTGTAACCAAAAGGGAGGTTGGTGCCAACACACCATGACCACACCCACACCCGGATGTAGCGTGTTGGCACGCACCTTGTGTTGGAACACCAACACGGCTCTCTGCATTCATCTCTGAAAGTTAGATAAGACAAATGTTAGGAAGTTCTATAGTGTATTCAGCCAAATGTCAGAACACAGTAGAAGTAAGTTTTGGGGTTTATAAAATGTATGGAATTTACAAAAGAAATCACGGCATTCTTGGAACTTTATTTATAAAAGGAGCTGGTGACAAACAATACCGACGAGGCAACATAGACAGTAGACTGCATGTGTCACTGTCAACATCCCTACAACACTAATTATAATCCAATCGAAATAATTCCATATCAGCGCTAGTAATCGTAAACGGTTTCATAGCCTGTTTTCCTTCAATCAAATAGAGTTGTCTCCCTTGCACCATATGGTGACCCGAACGGGTCAAAATTCGGGTTTGGTATTGGGATAAATATATTTTAATTATTGTTTACCTACCTTAGATTTTATTAGACTTTTGATATATCATGTATACCCATCCGTTATTTTGTATGGCTTTGGCAACAGTAACAAGTTGACAACTGGGTAAACAAGCTGACAACTGGGTAAGGGATTCGGTTCGGTTCAGTGTCGAAGCGTTAGCGCAACAGACGCCGGGAACCAGACTGCGCAGATATTGTGAAACCCCCAGTCGTGAAGGGGCGGTGGGGTAGCCTTGTGGTTAGAGCGTTCGCTTGTTACTCCGAAGACCCGGGTTCGATTGCCTACATGGGTACAATGTGTGAAGCCCATTTCTGATGTCTCCCGCGTGATATTGCTGGAATGTTGCTAAAAGCGGCGTATAACCATACTCGCTCACTCACTCACTCATTCACAATCGTGAAACCCGAGGCACGGAAGCCTAGAAATGTAATCACCGTGTGATATATGAATACTTACTGACACGAAACGTATCTCGTCCACTGTCTGAAGGGGAAGATTACGTAACATCGCCGGAAGAAACGATGTAGGTAACGAACTGTTGGGGGACAAGGCTCGCAGGATCTCCCATAGAGAGGTATCACTGAGATCGGCAGGGCCTGCCTGCAAACCGTAAAATGCTTTCTACAGATATCTTGCTGTCTCTTTTTCTGTTGACCGACACAGATGTTTCTCAGATGTCGTTTTATAAGTAACAATAATTTTCATCGTTATTTTTGTGTGTGCATATACGGGAAAACATAAATGGCTTCAACANGGGGTACAAGAGGATTTTCCAAAACGCCTATACTGTCCATCACGTCAGTTACATGTAATGTCAAACTAGTTCATATCGGATGAATCCGTCCCTAATTTCAGGACAATCCCGGATTCGATGAGGCATACTCCTAACGCCAAATGTCAAGTTGGTTCATTCAATCCCATTCTTCCTGCAGGGCATCTGCCAAGTTTGTTGAGAGTGGTCGGTGGATATCTTGATATCTCGTGTCTTCTGATATCGAATATATCAACACTCGTTGATCCTCGGCAAGATTCGAATATTTAATCAACTCGTGTTGAGATATTTGATATCAGAAGACACTTGGGCAAGATTCTATATTTTTACGCCGCACTCAGCAATATTCCAGCCATAAGGCGATGATCAAGTCTGGACCAAAACATCCAATGATCAACAGAATGAACATCGATCTACGCAATTGGGATACGATGACATTTGTCAACCAAGTCAGTGAGTCTGACCTCCAGATTCCGCTAGTCGCATTTTACGACAAGCATGGGTTACTGAAGACCAATTCTAACCCGGATCTTCAAGGGTCTGTAGTTCTGTGAAGCCCATCTCCAATTTGAGAGGTACCTTGACCACAGTTTCGTAACACGGTCGTTTTGATGAAACGGTGTTGTGACCCAGTCGTCGTCCTTGATTGCCAAGATCGATGTCTGTCACTAACGGTATTTGTCTGTCGATATCGTGGTTGTAATCGGTCCAGCAAAACACATGTTTCACTCTAAATTTCGGAATTTACACCGACCATGCTCACGTGCACATAATGAAAAACGCACGCACGAAATTGTCGTGTGTTCCCGAAATTCATAACACGTTGTGAATGGAAAAATCATTTTCAAAATCCACATTTTGACACAATCCATAATGACACCCCAAAATGTAATGTCCCTTCTTTTTTAAGTATACTGTATTCTGTGGTTGTGTCCCTTTGCTGAGATATGGGTGGTGAAGAAATAGCATAGAAGCAGTGCAGTAAAAGCTTACATCGGATGGGCTTACAGACCCCCCACAGGCCTCTCTTTGTTATAGTAAACGGTAGTTCAGACATGGCATTCTGTGTAGGTATCATCTAGTCTTAACGCAGGGAGTTTCTCATGCAGTAAAATAGCTGATATTAATTACAATATATTTTGTTCACACCGTTTTCTGCTGGCTCCGGTTCTCTCGGAGAAGTCCGTTAGATTCTCTGGTATAGGGCAGTTCTGCTCATCCTCAAACCCAGAGGAGATACATCGATTGACTCTTGTGAGTACACGTTCAGCTTTTGTCCTGAAAGAATAACAGATCGTCTCTGAAGAAATCAGTCACATTTACATCGAACTTGAAAGGTTTCTATGCGTTGATTTCAATGGCGGGCATCGGTCCAGCTAATTAACCATTCACAAACTAGCAGAATACCAGGTAACTAAGCAATATCAGGAAACACATTCTTAACTTGACTGGTTTTGACATAATTCAGCTGATCGGACAGTACATGTGTGTCAAGGCTACAACGATGATGACTGGGACGGTGGTGACTACAACGATGGTGACTTAAACGGGGATGACTACAACGATGGAGACTTGGACGGAGATGACTACAACGATGAAAAACCGGGACAGAGATGACTACAACGATTGGGACTTGGACGGAGATGACAACAACGATGGAGAGTTGGACGGAGATGACTACAACGATGGAGACTGGGACGGGGATGACTACAACGATGGAGACTGGGACGGGGATGACTACAACGATGGAGACTGGGACGGGGATGACTACAACGATGGAGACTGGGATGGAGATGACTACAACGATGGAGACTGGGACGGAGATGACTACAACGATGGAGACTGGGACGGAGATGACTACAACGATGGAGACTTGGACGAAGATGACGACAATGATGGAGACTGGGACGGAGATGACAACAACGATGGAGACTGGGACGGGGATGACAACAACGATGGAGACTGTGACGGGATGACAACAACGATGGAAACTGGGACGGGGATGACTACAACGATTGGGACTTGGACGGAGATAACAACAACGATGGAGACTTGGGCGGAGATGACTACAACGATTGGGACTTTGACGGAGATGACTACATAGATGGCGACTGGGACGGGGATGACTTCAACGATGGAGACTGGGATGGAGATGACTACAACGATGGAGACTAGGATAGAGATGACGACAAAGATGATGACTTGGACTGGGATAACTACATAGACGGAGACTGGGATTGGGATGACTACAACGATGGTAACTGGGACGGGAATGACTACAACGATGGTTACTTGCACGGGGATGACTGCAACGACCGAGACTTGGACGGAGATGACTACAACGATGGAGACTGGGAGTGAGATGACTACAACGATGGTAACTGTGGCGGAGATGACTACAACGATGGAGTCTGGGACGGGGATGACTACAACGATGGAGACTAAGACGGGGATGACTACAACGATGGTAACTGACGGGGATGACTACAACGATGAAGACTAAGACGGGGATGACTACAACGATGGTAACTGTGACGGGGATGACTACAACGATGGAGACTGAGACGGGGATGACTAGAACGATGCAGATACTTATTGGGTATTTTCAAAAGGCTTTGTATTAGTATAAGTGAATAGTTTGCTGATACTGCTGTCATTGTGTTCTTTGTTGTACAGGACAAACATTACCTAATGGCTGCATAGTCTCTTTCAACTTCAACCGATTCAGGTTCCAAGTCCTGACAGCCTGTGTCCGGTGGCGGACAGTCTTGACCCAAGACACTCAAGCTCATCATCAGGATGAAGGCGCACGTTGTGGGAAGTACAGTCTAGAACGAAAAGTCACTAACAGCATTACAGTGATTTAACAGCAATTTACTTACAGGTTTCTACTTTAACTTTTTGACCAGACCGTTTACCTCCACATGAGGATGAACTGGGACGGGGAGATCGTTATTGAGATTATATGAGTGACTTTGTATCATGGTGTGAATATGGTTATCTTGAAGTGAATGTGAAGAAAACAAAAGAACTTATTCTTTACACAAGAATTACCCCACGGGTAACAAAGTATTGTTCTTGTCAATGTCATGAAGTCGGCATATACAACATATAAAACGTTGACACCTGTTAAGTCTAACTTAACAGTGCAGGAATACTGTACCATTGCGTTACTTGATCCCTCCCTTCTCGTTGTTGTTCTTGTAATCTGAAACAAGCACCGACTATAATGGGGAAAACTGGATAGCACCACCCATTAATGTCAGTATAGCTGTCTCAAAGTCATATCCGAAAAAGACATGTAAACGGTTTATAAAAAGTGCATTTGTATTTGGTGATGACAATCACTTTTGATTCCTTTGATTAAACGTTTGGTTGTTTAGGAGCAAATGAAAATGTGAAATGAACCCTGAGATAATCCCTTGCTTGTAATAAGTAATCAAAACAATAATCAAATAGCCTTGGTCTCAAGTGTCAGTAAATTGTCAACTTGTTGCTGAAACAATGTTCTAAGTACAAAAGTACCTTTGAAAGATTCCAAGAGCATGTAAAAGTTAAAGTTTTAACTGTTAGGCTGTTGTAGGTCTTCGCCTTCAGAGTCTTGTGGATATACTCACCTTTCACTCCACTGTTTAGTTGTGATTTGGAAGGCTGATGTAGATACCAGTTTCTTATAGTTTCAAAATATGTGGTGGTGTCACAAGTGTTATATTTTGATTGGCTGATTGATTTATTAAAATGAAACGCAGGTGTAACAGGTTTGTGTGTTAACAAAGTCATGAAAACCTGCCAGCGTCCATATGTCGTGCAATGCAATACGTATTAGAAAATGATTAATCCATTTACAACTTCAAAATACTGCACAAGATATCACCATAGGCATATATTATCATAGAAAACGTTTGACCGCATCTTTCTCTAAAGATTAGTGACGACTTTTTTTAGTTAAAGGAGAATACTAGACAATTGCAATAATTTGCTGGGTGAAAGATAAAGTCATCCGAAACATGTACCCAAATTTTTATTTCAAAAATATGGTTAATTATGTTTTCATCGCGAAAACAGTTTCTGTTATCTGAGCTTCGGCCATTATGCATATTCCGCTGGAACTCACGTGACCTTTCCGCGCGTGAGTGGCACTTGGTCTGATACCTGTATCCCGCCTGTGACGAACTGCGGATAACTTGACACACAGATGGAAACCTGAAGACCTTTGGATAACGAGGTTTCTCTGTAACTGAACTGTAATATTCTCGGCGTCTTCTCTGCTTAAAATATTTCCCAATACGTATCTACAGACAACCAAGCCATGATGCTGTAGCTTACCTGTATCACAACGTAGCAGGTTGGAAGTAACTTAATTAATTACAACTGTACAGACAGCCATTTCCTACTGCAATATGATGCATCACTATCATAGGAATTTACACGTATGAGTGTGAAATTGTTTGCCCCTCTCGTCTTTCTACGGAACCGTAGAAGGGACATCGAATGAGAAACTAAATATCAATAGTAAGTTGTGGCCACGAGGTAATGAGGCGAGGCCACGAGATAATAAGTCGAGGCCACGAGATAATAAGGCGAGGCCACGAGATAATAAGTCGAGGCCACGATATAGTAAGGCGAGGCCACGAGATAATAAGGCGTGGCCACGAGATAATAAGTCGAGGCCACGATATAATAAGTCGAGGCCACGATATAATAAGTCGAGGCCACGAGATAATAAGTCGAGGCCACGATATAATAAGGCGAGGCCACGAGATAATAAGTCGAGGCCACGAGATAATAAGGCGAGGCCACGAGATAGTTAAGGCAAGGCCACAAGATACTAAGGCGTGGTAATGAGATAATAAGATGTGGCCATGAGATATTAAGGCGAGGCCACGAGATGATACGTCGTAGACACGACTTAAATAAGTCGTGGTCACGGCATAACTTAATTTATAAGAATAAGAAATGTACGGGACCGTAGGAGGGATATCGGATGAGAAAATAAATATTATTAGTGAGGCGTGGCCACAAAATATTGGGATACGCTGTCACACGATTTCCTACAAACTTTGATCGGTAGTGATCGGCGCATTGAGTCGTGTATCGCAGGGCATGGAGGCCTCACAAAGTACTAAAAACACTGTAAGAGAATCATATCTTCACATATTCATTCAAGTAAAACTTCTATAGTTTATATACACATATTAGATATTTGACGAAACAACTTTCTCGATAATTTCTGGGAATACTATATATCTACCTAAATATCACTTTGCAAGGTTAACCGCCTCCGTGGTGTAGTGGTTAGAGCGTCCGGCCAAGGAGCGGAAGGTCGTGGGTTCGATCCCCGACCGCGTCATACCAAAAGACGTTAAAATATGGTACTTGTTGGTCCCTGCCTGGTGTTCGGCATTAATGGGTACAACAAGGACTGGTCGGCTCGGAGTCAGTATAATGTGTCTGAGTGGGGTATTCCTGCTTCACTGCGGCATGGTATCTCAGTGGGCTAGCACTATAAAACCAGCTTCAGTCTGGGCTAGTACAAGCAGCCGCACATACACATACACACGCATGCACGTCGTCATATGAGCGAAATATTCTCAAGCACGACGTTAAATCCACTTTCACCTCGCCTCATCTTTCATAGGTTTTGTTTGGGCGAAATATTCTCAAAGCAGAAGACCGTCAAATCGTCCTATGTCACCTACGTGACAGATTTCTGCCGGCTACACGAACCAGGGCTGAGATGTTTAGAGGTCGACTGTCCTCACAGACCATTCGAAATCGGTTGCGGGCTGCCAATCTCCATTCTCGACGTCCATATCGTGGGCCAATATTGACGCCGTTTCATCAACGTCAACGTCTGCTGTGGGCCCAACGTCACCTCCGATGGACCCAGAGACTGGAATCGAGTCGTCTTTAGCGATGAATCCAGGTTTACCCTCGGAGAGAGAGAGAGACGACGTCGTGAACGGTGTTGTGTACAGGAAGTCGACAGATTCGGGGGCGGAAGTTGCATGGTGTGGGGTGCTTTCTGTGGGAACAACCGTTCCCGACTTCTGGTCATCCGTGGAAACCTCACAGCTGCTGCTTACCGCGACCAGGTGCTCACCCCTGAACTCGTTCCTTTCATGGCGGCTCATTGCCCAGGTCTACAGTTCCAGCATGATAATGCTCGGCCGCATACCGCGATGTTGACACGAAATTTCCTTCAAAACGCTGGAATCAACGTCATGGACTGGCCATCGAGGTCCCCTGACCTTAATCCAATAGAGCACGTTTGGGATGCACTTGGGAGAAGGCTTCGTGGTCTCAGGAACCAACCTCAGAATTTGTAGGCACTTGGAGCTGCCTTGCAAGAGCAATGGCGCAGAATCCCCAACCACGTGTTCACAAGCATCAGGCAGTCGATGAGGAGACGGTGTTTGGCAGTGGTGAATGCGCGGGGCGGTCATACACGATATTGAACTGAGAAATTTCGCATTTTATTTCTTGTGACTTGACATTCTGTATACCCATGTTTTGGAACGGCGGTGTAGCCTAGTGGAACTGAGTATGGCACTCAGTGTATCGAGTACATCACACAGATCTCAGCAATGAAATAATAACAATTTAACCATCTTACCATCTCTTGTTCTTTATAGTGCCCTGAAGAAAGAATGTGAAGTTTCTTTTTGACTCAGTATATGTATAACAGGGTGAGACTTTAATAAATATTCTGTCTGTTTGTCTGTCTGTCGCTATATTTAGCGTGCTATAATACTAGCTATGGGCGCGATCATTTCACGGCCTAATGCACACCGTCACGTTTCGCAGATCAGCTTGACTAACAATAGTAAATGGTCGTCGATTATCACCGTGACAAATCGACATGTCTTTACTCTTCAAATAGTCCATGTTCACTCAGACAGAGCGATATCACCAATCTAGTCAAAGAGAATTATTGGTTTAAAACGTCCCAGTGGGACACACGGAGTCCACTTCCTGATTACAAGGATTCGCGATCGTATTCAGGCAAATGTAACTTCCCTCTCTACAATAAAGTATATAAACTGGTATACAGTATAGAGAGGGGAATACATTGAAAACTGTATTTGAAACACACACCCCCCAAAAAAAATAATAAAATAAATAAAAATATCAAGTGTCTTAAAAACGTTTCAGAATGTTACTAGGCTGGGAACAGTTGCCGAGTCTCTGCCAAAGTACACTCCCACAATACCAACAACCAGAAAACTACTATGACACTGGTATAAAATATATTACATTCGTATCAAAATATCTGGTTTACATAAGTTTAATAGTCAACATCAAGCATACGTATTTATTGAATTATGACCGACGGTTTATTTGTTTCATTGTTATAGTGAACTCTTTATTCCGCATGCACCTCTTTACTGACAATTCCATTAGATACATATATGACTGTGTATACTATGATATCAGTACATTTGTATTATGTAAATCCGAAGTTCGTCAATCAGCCTTTTCGCTATTCCTCAAGTATTCAGTGGGAGAGGTACGCGTATGATAAATGGGGTTTATTGGCATTCTAGCACTCTAGAAGTTGAGGAGATGAAGAATGAGGACAGTGTTATGTATATACAACTTCCTTATTCTGTATAGGCGACATTTAGACATAGATTCAATTGCTTGACAACGACATTATAATCTATGTCGAAACGTCGCCTATATAGAATAAAGAAGATGTATTTCCATAAGAATAGTCCTCATTCTTCATACTAGAAGTAGGTGTGTCAAAATGAAGCACACGACTTTATTGATAACACATTGTTTATTGCATAAAGCGACGCTTCGGTGTAGAATCTTACACCAT